ACACTTGAGGGAGACACAGAGGGGGAGGGGCTGTGTGGTATTGATTTCTAGAGCACTCTGCCTTGCACAGTAGCTGGCCCTGCAGACCAGGCTGGCATGCACTAAAAGGTACCTACTGAGTGTTAAGGTAGCACTAAGAGTAGTATGCAACACGGTGGTGGTTGGAATACACACCCCTCTCGTGCGCACACATTGGCGTGCCTGGCACGTGAACCCCTGAGATTATAAGAGTGAGGCCTTTGCAGATAAAAACAATCTAGCAGTTGTCCGGGAACTGAACTGCCTCTCTCGTTCTCGCTGGCTTAGAGGGTCACACTAGTTTTGATGTGACCAGCCGTGCAAGTAACTGACAATGTCTGACAGGTGCTGTCCCACTGCAAGCCGGGTCCCTTCCAGCTCTTTCCAAAGCTCCCGGCTGGCTGTGGCCACAGCTCAGCCTGCTCGTGCCGGGGCTGCGCACCAGGGCAAACCCGCTTCCTGTCACCGCTGGACACGACTGTTTCCTAGCGCATCCCAGCGGGCCTCATTGAAGAGTAAAAACAGAAATATTGATGGTCAGGGCCCACCCTCACTTCCCAGCCCTTGTCATTTTTAGGGAGGTTGCCATGGCTTCCAGTTTAAGGCCGTGCATCAGAATCCGCTCTGAAATGTCGGTTCCAGGTTAGCGCCAGTGCACACAGGGGCCGGTTCTCTGCATCCAATGGCAAGCAGACGGGATCTTGGAAGGACAGCTGATGTCATAAGACACCTGCCAAACCTGGCCGAGAACAGCTGGTGAATTTTCTGCACTAGCAGATCTGACCCTCCTGGCTCAGTTTGGAGCACAAAGCTCAGTGCCCAACCTAGCCCCCCGACGGGCGGGAACGCTGCCTTTTCAGACACCCAAACGCTGCTGCTTTTAGAAAAGTCAGGGGAGTTGGCCCACAGAGCCCAGCACAGACTGCGAAGCACCCCTGATACTTCTCAGCAACTAAATCTAATAATGACACAGAACTCCATGTCTACGTTTTGGGTGCTTGGGTAGACATTCTTTGCAACAGCGAAATCCTGACCTGCACTTAGGCAGAGGTTTGTTCTAACTTTTGGAGCCACATTATGCAGGAAGGTTGCCAACATTTTGGAACATAAAATAAAACATTGTTTATAGTTTCTTCCCTTTCTTATGGGTTCACGTTTCTAGCTTGTTAACCTACAAGTTGTGCTGGGCGCATGATGGAGGGGAAGTGTGCAGAACTGACTGGAAAAGCCTTCACCATTTCATTCTGTGCATTTCCAACTCCCTAAAAAGCTGCTTTTCACCAGAATACTGGGGTCAGGGGCCCAGAGGGAAAGGAGCTGCTCTTTGGTTTGGTGCATGAAGTCCAGGCCAGTTTTCCAGAGTCATTCGGAGAAGTCCCTAGACACCAGGGATGGCATGATCCCAGTGCCATCAAACTTCAACCCAATCCTTGTCCAGCCTTAACTCTGAAGGTGAACCTCAAGAAGGATTTTGCCACGGGACTGAACCCTTCCACCTACACCAATCCTAACTCACACCTGCCTAACTGGTAGTGAGACAGCACAAGAACCATCTGCCTGGCCAGCTTCCTAAATACAAATTCACTCCACTCCGAGAAACACAACACGGTCTCTGGAAAGCAGCTAATCAGGGAAACAGAAATAACACAATATGAGTTAAATGACATGACCCGATCCAACCAATCCAGTTGGAACTAGAAAATGCACCGTGAAACCAGCTCAGCATTTGCATGGGCATCCAAAGAGTGGAGAAAACCCTGTTGATTACGCACATCGTGCCGCCTGCTACAGCCACGGCCACAGCCCTGCATGCTCACTGTGTGTTCCTCTCCTGCTGCCATGAGCCATTTTCACAGAAACGCCAGAAATGCATTGTTAGTGTTGTGATGAACATTCACACAGCTGCACTGTCAAGTGCTTTCACAGCACTGACTCTCGTGGCTCCCAGCCTTTTGCATACTGTGACCCCATGTTACAAAAGAAAAAGTTCTAGACTCACCCCCATCTTGCAATTATGCCCCTAGCCTCCTTCACCACCTGTTGCCCCCAGGATCCAGCAAAATAAACAAGCCCCGAGATCCCCTTTCATAGCCATGTCCTTCTAGCAAGCCCTTGGTCCAGTGGGTCTGATGTTTTAGTATTGGGGGGGTCCACTTACGCTAGCTCCTGACGGGTAAATATCAGAAAGGAATTTTCACAGTTCGGGTCCTGGCTTGAACAGTCTAAGTTCATTAACTGTGGGGTTGAGCAAATAATTTATTTGCTGATTTTCGCTGAGTGGATCACAGTTTCCTCACACTCAGTCATTCTCCACATTTATTCAATTCAAGTTGTAGGGGGTTTTACGTGCACTTTGTAGCTTGATCATGAAGCATTTTCTGCCAGTGTTTGATGCTTGAAATGCAAAAGGCGAGCTGCACTGGTTGTTTGATATCGGGCTCATCGCTGTTATCGTCTGTGCCCTGGCTTTGGGGTGAGTGTAACTCGGCAGCAGGGCTTGCAGGAGCCCCTCAGGCAGAGAGAGCTGATAAACAGGATGGGGGGGGGGATTGCAAAAATCAAACCCTTCCCTTTGTGTGCGCCCCAGGCATTCCTTCAGGAGTGATGCCTCGAACAGCAGGCTAGTCAGTGTAACGTTTCCTGGGTGAGCCCAGAGTGCCCACGGCTTTTTCTGCTGCCCTGGGTTCAGAGTTAGTTCAGGGCCTCGTCTGGCTAGTTTAACCGCCTGGGGAAGGGGATTTGGGAACTCGACAGCTCTGCTGCCCCATTGTGCACACCCTTAAAAATACTCCCATGGCGTGAGCGCTTTCCAGCCTCGCTGTACCGCTCTGCCCAGGAATACGACATTGCTTGAAAGGCCCCAGAAAGAGACCACAGAAGGGGCCTGAGCCGCGCCAAAGAAAATTCACCTCTAGATCAGAGCACAGGCTCAGCCCTGCTGTGTAGTATTCACCAACTCCCGACCCCTGGCAGTCCCGGTGCCTTCTGCAACGCAGGCTGATCCTTAGCCAGCTTTGCATGAGCCCCATCTGCAGAAGCACGGGGCCAGTGTCTGAGCGGTCTGAAGGCTTGCATGGGATCAGCACGGTGAGGTGCAGGCATGTGTCAGAGCTGCTGAGAGACCACAGCTGCCTGTTGTAAGCGTGTATCTTCTATGGCTCTCCAAGGAGTGACTTGAACTCAGCAAGGCAGCCTTGTCTCCTTTCAGCTGGCAGGCCGCCAGCTCCCTTCCCCCAGCCAAGGGCCGCCTTGCCAGCAGAGCTGTTTTCCTGCTTGTCCCAATGGCCGGGAAAGAAAAGAAACTCTTCTCTGGCCCCCAGGATACTTTCAGAAACCATTTGATGGCTTCTCACTCCTCGCCCCTCCTTTCCTCAGAGCGATACGGTGCAAAAGTAACAGATTTTTTAAAAAGACCCCGTGAGACAGGCCCACCCACCCCAAAGTCATAGCACTTCTGCCTGTGTTTCTTGTAGGGTTGCCAGATGTTTTAACCAAAAATACTGAACACCCCCCCCCCCCCAAAAAAAAAAAAACCACGGCTGAGAAGAAAAAAGCAGGGGGGTGGGGGGGAGTTGCTGAGCAAAAAACAAAACAAAACAAAATAATAATACAAAAAAAACCAGCATGGCCCCTTTAAGGCCTTTGGGGGTTTTTTTTGCCAGTGGCCATCTCGTTTTCTTACTCTGTGAGGGAAGAGAACTCCCCTGAGGAACTAGGAAAGTGGGGAGGAGGAGTTGGGGGGGGGTCCAGGAGAGGCCCAGGGGCTGGGTCCAGTTGCTGAGTGTGGTAGGGCTCCCAGGTGTCTGGTATTTTGCCTCCTGTCAGGGGAAAAAACATCAGAAAATACAGGACATTTTAGGAGTCCGGTATTTTCTGATTTTTTTTACCAGACAGGAAGTGAAAATACCGGACTGTCGGGGTCAATACCAGACACCTGGCAACCCTACTTCACACGGTGATGCCAGGCATGTTGGATATGTCCCCTTTCACGCCTCCCCTCTCCTGGGGAGCAGTATCACATGCAGTGCTAGGCAAAACTTGCACAAGTGGGTCAGCAGCAGAGCCAACAGTCTTGCCGGGCCCCTGGACCGGAGGGGGGCAGCAGGGCTTTGGGCGGAGGGGGGGGCCGGGGGCAGCCAGCCCTCAGTGCCACCCAGAGCGTGACACAACCTGCAGCCCTCAGTGCAGCCACTGCCACAGCCGCAGCCAAAGAGCCCTGGGCCCTTCTGAATCGCTGCAGCTGGGGGCAGTTTCCCCCTTTGGACTCCTGTCGGCAGGCCTGAGTGTAAGGCTCAGATTTGTAACGAGATTTAGGCGCGCCTGTGCTCAGTGTCACCCCAGCGCCTAACTGATTGAGGAGCCTAACTCATATTTTCAAAGGGGATTTGGAGACTTAGGAGTCTAAGTGCCACTGGCTGTCTCTCAAGCCCATGTTCTGATCAAGAGAGCCCAGGGCAGCATCTTCAAATGTGGGAGTCGCAAGCTGGGCCAGGCCAGCGTAGGCCCTTTTCATAAGGAGGAATCTGGGGGGGGGGGGGTTACCAGGTCAGACATGTCCCCAGCGTGCATCCCAGTAAACGGGACTCAAGGTCCAAACTTTCTCAGGTGCGTCTGAAAGGCCCACGAGGTGCCGAAATGCATTTTGGGCACCTACCCGCCTTTGGAAGTCTGTCTCTGGGACATGATATTGGTATTTGGGGATCTAAAGGGCTCAGACCAAAATCCAGCAACGCACTGGAGCGCCAGCTGCATTTGGGTCTAGATAACAACCTCGGCTCCTTCCACTCCTGGCCAGGCTCCACTTTGCTTTGCACTTGGCAGCAGTACAAATGCACAAGGGATGTTTTCTTTGATGCCAAGTCCCCTGCTGCTTTCCTGCAACTCTCCAAAGGCTTCCACAGCGGCTGTCAGTGGAAGTGCCTGGCAAGCCCCTGGCCCGGCCTTGCTGGGGCGGTGTCCGGTGTGAGCTCTGCAGCACTCACCTGCTGGCTGTCTTGGTAAGGGGGAGGGGGCACACTCTGTGTGGCCATCATTGTCAGAGCTGGTGCTGGGGAGACATGTTGCATCATGGGATTGATTCACATCTAGAACCTGTTGATGGGAGAAAGTTCAGCTTGATTAAAAAAAAAAAAAAAAAAAAAGGACAAGTCAGTCAAAAGCTGCGCCCCTGCCTGCTCCTGGGTGTACGAGTCCAGCCTCCGACGCCAGACACGCTACGGAAACCCAAAGCCATTCAAGGGGTGCTCATGTGCCAAAGGAAATTGGGTGAGAGGACGGGAGGGGGGTCCTGAAATATTTCACGCTTGCGATTTGCTCAGGGCTCTGGCCTGCAACATTAGTCAGAAGCAGGCGCATGAACCTGCTAATGTTCATTGCCAGCTGCCAGTGAAACAGAGGAAAGGCCTAGCTCTGGCTCGAGAAAGCCACAGTCACTCCGGGGCCTACCAGGAGTCCAATCAGACAATGACCAATGAGCATGCCTTTTTCTTTTCTCTGCTTCTGCCCGGCCATTGGCATTGTCCTGGCAGTGGCATGTGTGAAATACAGGGAGTCATCAGTCCTAGGATTTTCCATAGAGTCAAGAAACTTCTCAAGTGCATGGTAGAGAAGGTACCGGGTTCATCTTAGAAGCACCCGAGTTAAGAACATAAGAGCGGCCACTCGGGTCAGACCAAAGGTCCATCTAGCCCAGTGTCTTGTCTACTGAGAGTGGCCAATGCCAGATGCCCCAGGGGGAATGAACACAACAGGTGATCCCTCTTCTGTCATCCATTTCCAGACAAACAGAGGCTAGGGCCGCAGTCACCAACCAGTAGATCGGGATGTACTGGTAGATCTCGGAGGCTCTAAGAGTAGCTCTTGAGCCCTCTCTGAACTGCGCGCCTGCACAGTACATGTACATTAGATTTCCTCATTTGAGGAGCAGCTACTCACTGAGCAACAACACAGGTGAGTAGCTGCGAGGAATGGTGGGAGCTGGGAGGTCGGGAGGGTAGCAAGTGATGGAGAGGAGAAGAATAGAGAGGGCGGGGCAGTAGATCTTGGCTTGGTCTGTCATTTAAAAAGTGATCTTGGGTGTAAAAAGGTTGGAGATCACTGAGCTAGGGACACCTTTCCTACCCAATAGCCGGTGATGGACCTAACCTCCATGAATCTATCTAGCTTTTTTTTTTATCCCTGTTAAAGTCATGGTCTCTGGCAAGGGGTTCCACAGGTTGACTGTGCGCTGCGTGAAGAAAAACATCCTTTTGTTTGTTTTAAACCTGCTGCCTATTCATTTCATTTGGTGACCCCAGTTCTTATGGGAACAAGTACTGTAAGTAACTTTTCATAATTACCCGTAGTTGGAGCTCAGAAACTCCTCCTTCCTCTCCTCCAGGCAGCCTGGGAAGCCTCATTGGCATTTCAGACATTGCACATGGCAGTTCTCAAAGGCTCTGGGAGCAGACGGAGCTTTCCAGTTGATGCTAATGGAGTGGCTGTGTACTTGAAAGCTCATACAAACTCTTGCTTTCTTGTGTGAGTAAACAAATTCAGAGCCATTGCATTAACCAACTCCGCTGTGCTTTCAGAAATATTTCTATAGCTTCATGCACATTCTCCCCACCAATAGGCCCCATTTATCTTGTGACATATCTGCCTGGGACTAGAAGACTTGTAGAAATGACATTCTTTGCTCCCTAGGTTCCCATATTGTCCGCGGGAAGCAAAGAACCAGGAACAACGGCAAGTCAAGGAAATATTTAGAAGTGGTGGTTCTGTTTACAATAGAAATCATTTTCACACTGGAAACACAAGATATCATTTTGCATAAACCCAATCTCCCATTATATCTACATACACACAAAATGCAGACAAAATCTTGACGCTTTTTGCAAAAATGTTTTCCGCAATTTCTCAGGGTCCTACTTCTGCCATCCCAGAGGCCGTGGAAAAAATAATTTCTGTGATAACTTCTTCACTGATTTTCACAGAGTTATGCAGGAGATACAATTGCCCTGCTGTTTCTAGTACTAATGCACTTGAAATAACTCAGAAGAAACGCTGGGGTTTGACCAGCCTTGGTCTGTCTTGTAGCAGAGCGTCTCCAATTCAGTCATTCAGAAGGCAACTAAATGCATCCCTCCAGGCCAAATCAACGGAGCAGCCCTGGGGTGAGGCCGATTGGGGCCCTTTGTGCTGATGTCATGGAAGGATCCTACTCTCCTGCTAAGCACTAACAGTGCGGTCACCAATTCAGCAGAGTGACTTGAATAAGCAATCCAAGAGGAAGGGAAATCAGGTTGGCAGAGTGCGGACACTTAGCTGGTTTTGGATAATGAACAGACCATGGGGAAAGCCTCCGAGCTGGTGGTCAGTAAATAGATATTTGTTCAAGTGTAAAACCTTCCAAAGATTTCCCCATTGCAATAGTCACGAGTTGTAAGTGACCTGGAAAAAGAAGTAAGAAGTGAGGCAAGGGCCCCCAAAGGCAAGGGTCTGTAGCTCCCCTAACGTCTAAACCCCTGGATTTCACACTTGAGGTCAGCTTGACGCTCATGTCCTGGCTTCAGCGGTGGCTCTTAACTAGCAGAATTTGTGCTGCTGGCAGCTTTGCCTTTGGGTCAGGGAGTTTGTTTATAAAGGGAGGGAGGCAGGGTGGTTAAGATAACAGAGAGCTGGGCATTCCAGTAACTGACGGATGGTTAGAGGATCATGAATCCATTGCCAGGAACCCCCATTTAAAGCTGGGGGGGGGGAGAATAGGAATAAATAGTGGTGTGCCCTGAGGGGTTGCATTTGGACCAGTGCTGTTTAGCTTATTCAGAAGTGATCTGGAAAAAGGGGAAAGCAGTGAGGTGGCAGAATTTGCAGATGATACAAAATAACTCCAAGTAGTTAAGTCCAAAGCTGACTGCAAAAAGTTACCCAGGGACTCACCAAACCGGGTGATTAGGTAACACAAGGGCAGCTGGAATTCAGGGTTGATAAATGCAAAGTAATACACATGGAAAAATAAATCCCAACTATACATACAAAAATGAGGGGATCTAAAATAACTGTTACCACTCCAGAAAGAGATCTTGGAATGTCTGTCTGTGGATAGTTCCCTGAAGACATCTACTCAATGTGCAGTAGCAATTCAAAAAGCTAAAAGAATATTGGGACTCCTTAGGAAAGGAAAAGATAGTAAGACAGAAAATATCATATTGCCTCTACATAAAGTCGTAGCACACCCACATCGTGAATACTGCATGGAGATCTGGTCGCCCCATCTCAGAAAAGATCTATTGGATTTGGAAAAGGTACAAAAAGGGTAACAGGAATGATTAGGGTTAAGGAACAGCTTCCATATAAGGAGAGATTAAAAAGACTGGGACTTTTCAGCTTGGAAAAGAAATAACAAGAGGGTGAGAGGCTATGTTAGAGGACTAGAATCATGAATGGTGTGGAAAAATAGACTAAGGAAATGTTATTTACTCTTTCACTAACCATAACTTAAGAACATAACATAACAAACATAACAAGAACATAACTTCCAAACAAGGAGTAGTCCTATGGCACCTTATGCCATGTCTACATTCGGAAAGTATTTCGAAATTACTAAATCTGACTTAACTCCTGATTTAACAAATTCGAACTATTGTGTCCACATTATAGGGAAGCCTCAAAACTGGTCTGAGCAGGCTCTGTTAATGTGGACACGCTACCTTGGATTTAGAGCCCCAGGAAGCACTGGGGAGTAATTAGTTCAAATTACTCTGGGGAATAATTATTTTAAAATAGCAGCGCCAGAGCATCCGCACCCCCATTATTTTGAAATAACTATTTAAGATGCAAATCAGGAGTACAGAGTTTGAATTCCGAGGCCCATTATTTCGAAATAACGGGCTTGGTAGTGTGGACGCTCCACTTATAAATTCAACTTTAGGGAGGTTATTTTGCCACTGTGTGGACGGCACAGAAATGCTATTTAAGATACATCAGCTCCAGCTATGTAATTAATGTAGCTGGAGTAGTGTATCTTAATTCAATCTTCCTCTGTAGTGTAGTCCAGGACTGAGGTGCCACAGGATTATTCATTGTTTTTAAAGTTATAAACTAACACGGCTACCCCTCTGAAACTTTATAACATTTCCATTCCAACTCATCCGATGAAGTGGGTTTTACCTACCAACAAAGGGATCTCACAGAACTGGCTGATTTGGCAACAAAATTGCAGATGAAACTCAATTTGATAAATGCAAAGTAATGAACATCTTAACTATGAATACAAAATGACGAAGATTAAATGAGATAACAACACTCAAGAGAGAGATCTTGGAGTCGTTGTGGATGGTTTTCTGAAAACATCCACTCCGTGTGCAGCAGCAGCCAAAAGGCAAACAGAATGGTAGGAACCACTAGCATAAGGATAGAGAAGAAGACAGAAAAAACTATAATGCCTCGATGAGTATGGATCACCTATTCAAGCACCTGAGTAGGTGATCCATTGGCCATTCTTATGATGGTTATTCACCTAGCTCAGAGTGACTAGCTGCACATGGAGGGGTACAGTTCTCACTGCTATGGGCGCTGGGCAGGGTTTCCAGAATGAGATCAATAGGAAAAATACCCATGTTCATTTTTAGTTCACTCAGCAGAGGGCAGAGGCAAGCACGTGGCCAGTGCTCGGCGAGGCCTAGTCTACGCGAGAGCAGGCAGGCGGTCTGAGTTACGCAACTTCAGCTATGTGAGTAACGTAGCTGAAGCTGACATACTGAGATCTACCTACCGTGGGATCTTCATTGCGGTTAGTTATCAGCAGACCCTCTCCTGTCGACTCTACCTACGTTTCTCATTCTGGTGCAGTACCAGAGTCGACAGGAGAGCGCTATCGCTTCTATGCAGTGGGCAGTAAAGACATGGCCTCGGGGATGTTCAGGAATAGAGAAGTGGAAGAACTATTTTCTTCCGAAGGGGGGAGAAAAGAGCAAGTGCAAAATACCCAGACCGTGGCAAGTTGCAAAGAAAGGGCGGGGCGTATCTAAGAGTCCGAAGTACTGGTGAGGCTCACAGTGGCTTCTGTAGGCTCCAACGCAAGTCAGTATGGTGTCAGGACATGTGCTTGA